CCATAATTTTATTCGGTGCCGACAAGAAGCAACTGGTATACCCACACTTTCTTTTTCCAGAAGAATTTGTGCTGTCGTACCATGTCTTGCTAATTCATCTGCTATACAGTTGCCTTGGATGTCCCTATGTCCAGGGACCCAAATAATTCGTATCCGAAAATATTCAGCCATCACCATAAGTGATGTAAGACAATTCAGTACTAACCTCGAGTTGAAGGTCGACGAGTTTAAGGATTTTATAGCTGCCTGGCTGTCAGTAAATATGTTTATAAATTTAACGGAGGAGACATTGTGTTCCAGCCAATCTGAAACTTCCAATATAGCAGATACTTCAGCTTGAAAAACGCTGCAGTGATCCGGTAGCCTGAAACTCATACTGAGATCTAGTTCAGGGCAGTATACTCCTCCTCCTACTTGTCCATCTAACTTTGAGCCGTCTGTAAAGAAGTTAAGGCGATTATCACTCTTTACAGAGTAGTTTTTCCATGTCTCCCTAGAAGGAATAAATAATTCAAGATTTCTGTCCACAATTGTAATTGTAGTACAGTAGTCTGTTATATCCGGAATGAAATCAATTTCTCTGAGGATGGAATCTTGCATCCATCCACAACTGCTTCCAATTCCTAGTTCTCTTATACGTAAAGCTGCCCCAGCTACCTCGCCTTTCAGCCACGATTTTAACGGGACGGAGGCAGCCTCAGCATTAGCCTGAAAGCCATTTCTGCAGAGTTTCACCTCTACATACTGAGGTAACAGAATACTGAGACTGTCAGCCCAGGGTTCAGACAATTTATAATTCAGACAATTCAAAATCATACAATCAGTGTCAGTATAGCCAAGGTTGTTGCCGTTGAAGCCATATTGGCCGTAAAGGCCGTTGGACAGAATTTTTTCTCCAGTAAGAATGAAGTAAATGTTACAGACATTGCCTCGAACTTCCCGCGATGTCCATAAGAACCGCCAATGTCTCTGCCTGTGGTTTTGTTTTTTTTGGTTAGGTGGCCGAGCACATCACCATTCGACCCCGCACCTGTTCATCTCATATTGTTTTTTTTGTGAACATTTTTTCTTGTTTTTTTTATATATAAATATATAACTTATGTCGTTTCTAAATATTGCACTGATATCACTTAACTTTTTTTACAATTTATTCATGTACATTGCTCGCACAGACAAAATAAAAAAATCGTGTAAAAGCTTTTGTTTCGTTTTGTTCATTTTGGTCAAAAGCTCCAATAAAGTTTGACTTAGTTATAAAAATATGGTATTGCCAAGTACAAATAATAAACTGATACACTTAAGACAAATTTTTAGCTTTATTAAAAGGAAAAAAAAAAATTAAGCTTTCTTAGAGGTCATCACCCTCGAGCAAGTAAGCAAACACAAAACAAAACACAGGAAAGCCAACTAGGAAAGTGGTGAAAACTTTTCAAGAACATTCTACGGTAAACAAAGAGGTAACAGGATCACTAACGTAGCAGGAGGATTTTTCAGTTATACAAACTGACTATAAAAGAGCCAGTAGAGGCTTGATTCGCTGTCTTTTGTTTTCTTGGAACGGCAAGTGGTACATATCAGGTCATATTCAATGTTAAAAATCAATTTTATTAAAAGTGAACAAAGATTCAAAATTAATGAAAATATTATTAAACTTTGTTCAAAGTGAATAAAAATGCAAAATTAATTAAAATTTTATTTAAACTTTGTTAAAAATGAATAAAAATTCAAAAATTAATAAAAATATTATTAAACTTTGTTAAAAATGAATAAAAATTCAAAAATTAGTAAAAATATTATTAAACTTTGTTAAAAGCGGATAAAAATTCAAAATTAATTAAAATTTTATTTAAACTTTGTTAAAAGTGAATAAAAAATTCAAAATTAATTAAAAATATTAAACTTTGTTAAAAAAAAAAAAAAAGGAAAAAAAAAAAATTTTAATGAATTCAAAAATTAACTAAAGATTTAACTAAAAATTACCAAAAGTTAATAAAAGTTAATAAAGCTTAAGAATAGATAAATATCTAACTAAAAGTTATTTAAAATTAATAAAAATTGGAATTGCAAGAAAGAAAGAAATTCTTTTTAAGAAGAAAAAGGAAATGTGCTATAATTGTGTGGAAAAATGGTCATAATAATTATCAGCAGTCGATAAAGACAACAGAAAAAAAAAACAATAAAAATTAATTTAGTTATCAGTCAATAGAAGACTACGCGAAATTTGAAATTCTGCAGCAAAAATAGAAAAAAAAATCAGACTCAATATCCAACGGCCGTAAAAGGAGGCAACTGTAACTGAAGGACAGTAATGACAACGGTGGCCAGGTATTCCGGCTATTAAGGATATAACTTGAATAGAAAAAAAAAATTTTTAAAGCATTAACTGTCTAATTTCGATTTTTTTTTATGAAATTTGTTTTATATTTATTATTAATTTTATATTAAATTCCAAAAATTTTTTTTTGTTGTTTTATCTTTTAAAAGAAGAAACAGTTTTAATGAAAAACTGATTTGAACGACTTGATAAATATAATTTTTGTTGCATCACTCTGTAATATCAATAAAAACACAAACAAGAAGAAAAAAAAAAAAGAGTCCCTTATAACCACAGATATATATTTATTTCTTTGTTTATTCGTTTGTGATTTGAAATTTTATAGCTAGGTTAACGGTGGCTGAAGTGACGTCATTTCTGCGGCTGGAAGGTAAGCTGTGGTAACAAATAATAAACTTAAAAGAGATAGCTAAGTTTCTCTGTAGAAACTGAATGTTTTTGTAATTAATTTTTTTTGATGGTTTTATTTCCATTATGAGTGCTACAATTTTTTTTACAATCAGTTCCACTGATTTTTCTCCTACTTTAGTTAAATAATAATATTCCAGTGTAATCATTGGATTTGTTTTTTTTTATTTTGTTTAATTTTTTTTTTCTATTCTTTTGTTTGTGCTTTGGTTAGGGATGTTTTTTTTTATATACACCAAATTATCACTATCATAATGAAATAACTTGTAAACTTGTAATCACGGAAGGTTTATTATGTTATTATTAATAAAAAAAATATATATATATATATTAAAGACATTGTGGAATAACGTAAATATCTATATATGTATAAATATTTTGTAAAATTTTATTACTAGTTAGAAATTATAAACATTAATAAAAAAATATGTATATGTTGAAGACATTGTGGAATATTGTAAATATCTATATATGCATAAATATTTTGTAAAATTTTATTACTAGTTAGAAATTATAAACATTAATAAAAAAATATGTATATATTAAAGACATTGTGGAATAATGTAAATGTCTATACATGCGTGAATATTTTGTAAAATTTTATTACTAGTTTTGAAATCATACTATAAACTTTATAAAAACAATAATTCCTGTATTTATAGCAAATATCTAGTAAATAAAAAAAAAAAAAATACAAGTATATATTTTTTTTTTGTATTTACTATTATTTTTTTTTTTGAATCTAAATAAAGGGGTGGTGTTAGTCCGGCGTTCCAACTATTTTTACTAAGGCAGGGATCCGCTGAAAATAAATTGTATCCACATTGTGTTTGTTTTAGAATCAAATAAAAATGAAACGTTTCACAGATAGCAACCAAGCATTACCAGATGTATTACCGGTATTTCCTGCATTCAAGGAAACCATGACAATACAAGCTGGTGTTGCTAAAAACATTGACTGGGGAGTGGAGGAGTCCATAATAGCTGAAATGAAAGCAGCAGGGTTGCCCAGAGGAAGAACCTGCAGCTTAGTTGTAAGCCAGGTGTGTACAGAACTTCCTAAGGTTGCTTCAGTAATAGTAAACATCAAGGACAATCCTCTCCCATACTATACGATGAGGATTTCTTTAAATTTAGGAGACCCAAATAAGCAATAGTAATTTTACTTAATTTTTTTTTTGTTTGTTGAAATATTGAAGTAATTTAGGGAAAGTATAATGAATTAGGTAAATAATAGATTTTTTTTTAGCATTGAAATAATAGTGAATTTAAATTGTTACGTGAATATAATTATTATTATTATTATATGAATATAAATAAATATATACAAATGAAATATTAATGAATGTTTGATAGGTTTGGGTAGTTAGGACAAGAACTAAGAACATGGCACGATTTTTTTTGTTGTTGTCTACAGTGTAGTCTCAGTTGTCAAGAACCCCACCTCAATACCGGCGAGCATACCGGGCTAGCCACCGTGCCATGAGCGGCTTCTGAGGACACTAATTCTAACAACAAGTGGACACAACAATTCCTACCAAACTCATCCCATCTGGTTGCGCCAGTCGTGGCATATTCCCTTTGGCGTTGCATAACACATTATGGTGACATGTCCCTAATTACACTAATTATTCAATCAATGAGCTGCACAACTGTGTACCAACAGAGCCGACAATAATGGAAGGCGAGTTAAAACCACTTAAGGCCCGTTCATCACCTCGACTGCGGACAATATATTGCTACTCGCGGGCGCCTACATAATGCGAGGGTGACAGAGGCACAGTGCTATCCAATCAATCTTCCTAAGGACAGCACATTGGCTAGGTTTTTAATATTGCAGGTGCATCAAGACACACTTCATGGTGGTATACAGCTTATGCTGCATGCTATTCAACACAAATATTAGATTCTGCAGGCACGCATTTTGGCACGCAATGCAACTCATGCGCGATTTGCAGGCGGCGTAAACACATATTGCTAAAACAACGTATGACGACATTACCAAAGGCTCGGGTCACAGCATCTCCCCCCTTTGGAAGATCTGGCTTAGACTATTGTGGTCCATTCAACATACGAATTAGCTCCAAGACTGTACGAACCGTGCGGAAGGCTTACGTGGCAATCTTTGTGTGCATGGTAACCAAGGCAGTGCACATCGAACTGGCTGAAGATCTCACTTATGAGGCATTCATAAATGCATACATCCGTTTCGTAAAGAGGCGACAATGGCACTACATTCATTGGCGCAGATAGCTTAATGGGCGCTGTCTTACAGGCTTGGCATAATGAGTATTCTCAACAGCAATTGGCAAATCAAGGCACAAAATGGCATTTTCTACCACCTGGCGCACCACATCAAGGTGGGCTATGGGAAACTGCCGTTAAGTCAACAAAGAACCACTTACTACGCATTGTTGGCACTCATTCAATTTACTATTACCAGCTACATACTCTACTTGTGCACGTCGAGGCTTGCTTGAAGTCACGTCCGCTTATACCATTGCCCGACACTTGTGACAAGAAGATGGCTCTATCACCTGCTGATTTCCTAATCGGAAGATCTCTACTGACAGTAGCAGATGAACATATTGGCAAGGTACCTAGCAACAAATTGTCATGTTGGCGACAATTAAGACAAATGCAACAGCATGTTTGGCGACAATGGCACGATGAATATCTTTCACTTTGCAACCACGTTCCAAATGGGTTCAGAATAGTGACCATATCAACATAGGTGATGTCATGGTTATCCGGCATAAGAATCTACCAGCAACACATTGGCGGCTTTGCAGAGTGATAAAACTTCACCCAGGCGAAGATGTGTTAGTACAAGTAGTCATTTTCAAGCATTCAGCTGGCGGATGCATGCGACCTATTCAGAAGATATGCAGACTTGTGCAGCATCCTGAACGTAAACGTCCAGCCTGGCAGAATGTTTGAGAATTGGCATAACAACTAGACGGTATGGCATCACTGATGTAGTGATTTTGACAGTAGCATTTCAAGATCAGGCAATTACTTTTAACTTCGTTTTTGCTTTTTTCCTTTTTCCTTTTCTAGTTGGTGAAGTGCGTACCTTTTCTATTGTGGCGTGGCTGATTTATCCAAAGTGTAATGTTTTAAAAATTGTGATCAAATAAAGAAATATTATATTTGAGTGTATGAAATGAGAGTATTATACTTTTTCATAAAAATATGTTATTTTGTTTATGAATTGTTGATATTACATTGTGAATATATTGTTGCCTAATATAATATAGTTATTTTTAATTAAACAACTCTCATATTTTAATTTAAATGGTGCATAAAAAATTACACTTTTTAAACTGTGTTAAATGTTTAATTTATTTAATTTTCACACAAAAATTGTTTTAATTACAAATATTTCGGTCTACTTCGTAGACCATCTTCAGTGTATATAAAGAAATTACATATTTAAATATGTTCCGCATTATATTGGTATCAAAAACCTACGAATACTGGACGATATATTAACACTTCGTTCAATAATGTGTGTGACTAACTAATTAAAACACATTTTTTTGCCAAAATTCGTTTTTATTCATCAACATAGTCGCCTTTTAGGGAGATACAATCATTCCAACGCTTTTGCAATCTTTCGATACCGCCTTTGTAAAACGATTTTTCTTTGCCTTCAAAATAGGCGTTAGTTTCAGCGATTACTTCATCATTTGAGCCAAATCTCTTACCACGGAGCTTCTTTTTGAGGTCTGCGAAGAGCCAGTAGTAGCTGGGGGCCAGATCTGGAGAATACGGTGGGTGCGGCAGAAATTCGTAGCTCAATTCGTTCAATTTTGCCATTGTTTTCATCGACTTGTGACACGGTGCATTGTCTTGGCGGAACAAAACTGTTTTCTTCGCCATATGAGGCCGTATCTTTGCGATTTCGTCTTTCAAACGCTCCAATAACGCTATATAATATTCGCTGTTGATGGTCTTCCCCTTCTGGAGATAGTCGATGAATATTATTCCATGCGCATCCCAAAATACAGACGCCATAACCTTGCCAGCCAACTGCTGCGTCTTTGGTCGCTTTGGGCTGCATTCACCGACTGCATGCCACTCAGCAGACCGCCGATTTGACTCTGGAGTGAAATGGTGAATCCATGTTTCATCCATCGTGATGTACCGACGCAAAAACTCCGACTTATTGCGCGTAAACATGTCCAAACAGCTCTTTGAATCATCGATTCGTTGTTGTTTTTGCTCCGGTGTGAGTAAACGCGGCACCCATTTGGAAAACACCTTTTTCATACTTAAATGTTCGTGTATTATGGTGTGTACACTGCCTGCTGATATCTGTAGAATGTCAGCAATCTCCCTCACTTTCACTTTACGGTCGGACATAATGATTTTCAGTGTTTTTTCAACGTTTTCCGGAATAACAGCGTCATTTGGCCAGTAGGTCCAGTAGATGGAATGTCATCGGTGTCTGTACGACCACTTTTGAATTCGGCATACCAATAACAAATGCTTCTTTTTGATGGAGCAGAGTCCGAATAATGTTTTTCAAGCCATTCCTGGCATTGAACAGTATTTTTTTCATTAAAAAACAATGATAAATCAGCACACGGAATTGCTTTGAATTCATTTTCTTTTGAAAACTCAAAAGTAGCGTCACTTAAAGCACTGTAACTTGTAAACAAATGATCGGATTAACATATGATTTTGACAGTAAGCCTAAAAAGGTTGCCACTTTCGAAATAAAATATTTATTTAGTATTAGTGCCGCCATCTATGTGTCAGTCACACACATTATTGAACGAAGTGTTAATTACAACTCGCAACACCCTTATCATATAATTCAGAGCACAATTTTAAATTTGATTAGACGTGTAATGAATATCAGCATTCCAATTTTTCATGAAGAAAATAAAAAAATTCTTATTGACATCTTGCTTAAAAATGACTATCCCAAACGGACGATATATTCTCTTCTAAAACAAGTGAATACAGTGCGTAGAACAAAATCCGATCCCCAACCAAAAATTTATCTTCACATGACGTATATTCCTGTGTTTTCTGATTATTTTAGCAAATCTAAGTGCTATAATGATGACACACACACATTGGCTTTCAAAGCGAGAAACACGCTTAAAAATAATTTTTTTAAATAAAACAAAAACTCCAATGGACAAATTAGATGAGCATGATGTCGTATACAAAATATCATGTGGAGGTGACAGGTCTGACATATGCCAGCAGGCACATGTCGGTACAACAAAAAACAAACTTAGGACGAGAATCGCTGGTCACAGACACGACATAAAGAGCAGAACAACTCTCATTGACCAAAAGACAGCATTAGCAACCCATTGCTCTATGATGAACCATACTCCAAATTTTGAAGAAGTACAAATCATCAACAAAGAGCTTAATTATAGATATAGATTAATGCTTGAAATGTTACATATCATTGAAGTTCCGGACAATCAGGGACTAAACTACAAAAAAGACACAGAGGGTCTTGCACAAATTTAAAGGTCTCTAATTAACCATAGAAAAATTTAAAATATATTTATAACTTAAAAAAAATTTTAATTTATCCTCCATTGTTACCCATTTAAAAAATATTTTCGTTTTTTTGATTTTAATTTTAAATTTTATTGTTTTTTCAAATTAATGTTTTGCTTTTGTTTAAATAAATTTAAATGTTAAAAATGTTAAACATTGAAAGAGACAACAATGTTTGTCATTTTTGGTTTTTTGTTTTGAATATTTGTTTTTATGTTTATTTACATATATTTAAATATGTAATTTCTTTATATACATTGAAGATGGTCTACGAAGTAGACCGAAATATTTGTAATTAAAACAATTTTTGTGTAAAAATTAAATAAATTAAACATTTAACACAGTTTAAAAAGTGTAATTTTTTACATATATTCAAAAACAGTTTTATAAACTTATGTGTTGAATAAACGACCTAAGCCCGGAAAAATATAAAAAACAAATTAAATATCGGTCGTACTACCAATTTACTTAAATGGTACATGTAAAAACAACATTATAGAAGGGCCGCACACCCTACCAGATAGGGCACGCTTCGCCACTGGTACTTTCCTATGCTATGAAGTTGCTTGTGTATATATTTTATTGTTTTTTTTTCTTTGTTTTAAGCGCTGATATGCATGTGTGTCATGAGTCTTTATACATTTTGTTGCTTATGCATTGTACGTGAATTTTTCAAGCAAGTTTCGGTTTTGTGCATCGAATAATAATATGCAAATTTGTAAGCATATATATGTGTACAATGTGTATGCAAATAACATAATTTTATCTGTAATGAGATTATGCCTACATTTATGTTTTAGGAATTATTTTTATTGTTAAATTCGATTTAAAAATTATAATAACATAAATAAGTAGTAATACGTAGTTTAAGAATAAAGTTTTTGGACAAAGTATTATGCTGTTCAAATAATTGGATGTATATAATACATATTTGGTTTTGTAGGAGAAATAATTTTTTATTGAATATTTATTAAATAATAAACAAGACAAGATATTGAAATATATAATTTTAAAAATTGTATATATATGTTACATGCATATTATCACTTGACGATATCGATAAAAATTACTCATTGAAATTATTGATTTCATTCAGAAATATAAATATAAAACATACATATGTAATGATTAATTGTTAAGGTTCGGTGAAAAAAGCAATATTGTATTTTGTTAAGTAATTGTGCAAAGTGAAAAACTTACAGAACTAATTTTCTGAAAGTGTGAAGAAACATTAGTTTTAGAAACGCTAAACAGCATTCACTAAAACTATTAACGGGCTTATCCAACACCCACATCGTCATCACAAGTATCAGAACAAGAGAACTTGGAACAACTAAAGTGGTGACTCCGTTAGAAAATCAAGTAAAAACTCTACAAAGTAGGGCATCCTATGCAAGAGTACATGCGCAAACTGCGTTCCAGACAAGCACGTAACAACATGGCGGTAAACGCAGAACAAACTGCAAATACACAAGAGGACTCCACAGAAGTAAATATGAAACATATTGTGAGAGTCCCTAACTTTAACAAAACTAATCCAACGGTATGGTTTGCACAAGTGGAATGAGTTTTTCGTCTAAACAACATTCAAGACGATATACACAAGTTCGATTGGGTGACAGTGAATTTGGATGAAGATATCGTGATGGTTGCTGAAGATTTAATCACGAATCCCTCAACAAATAATAAATATGAAACACTGAAGACACGTTTGTTGGGAAAATTTGCAGAATCAGCCGAATCAAAGTCGCGGCGCCTACTACAAGGTGGAGATACTACGGGTATGAAGCCGTCAGAAATTCTTTCAAACATGAGACGTCTGGCACCGGATCCCAATAGCGAACAAATGATTCGCACGCTTTTCCTTAGCGAAATGCCCAAATCGATTCGTCCGGTATTGGCAATTTGAGAAGAAGTGGATCTGAACAAACTGGCCAAATTAGCTGATAAAATGCTGGAGGCGTCAACAACAAACGCAATGTATATGTGTGAGGTATCGTCACAGCCTATGCAAGCCGCTGCAACTGTGTGCAGTACGGCATACAATGATTTGTACACAGCTGTTCAACAACTTACTGACCAAGTTAAAAAGCTGCAGGTTGAAGTTAAGCAACTCAGGAAAACAACCACAAGTCGCAACGTTTCTCGATTGCGCTCGCCCAAAACTTTAAGCGATGTCAACGGTCAACAGCGACATCA